CATTGCCAAAGAGCTCGAAAAACCCACAACAACCATTAGATCCCGGCCGTGAAAGCCTTCGCAAATACAAAACATTTGGAAGCAGATGGAGAGAATTTGTAGAAGTCTACTCTAATAACTCCAGTACTGTATAGAATTGTTCATGTAATTTATCAGACTTGGTATAGCTATTGGCAAAGATCTCAGATCCTCAGAAATTGTGTCTTTTAACTGTGAGCCAGATCTAAATGACCTTCTGGAATTATTGTAATCAAAGTATGCTGGTGATGGCTTTAACCACTGTCCCATTCCTGGGGCCAAGCAAAGTTCAAAGCAATTAGAAAATAGTATTAAAGGAGGAGTATGTACCCATATCCACTCTTTGTCAAGTTAAAGTTTTAGAAAAGAAGAAATAAATCAGGTTTATGTGTGGTTTTCACTCTTTAAAAAATGGGTTGAACAACATTGGCCAGTAACCAAGTTGCCAAATAATCAGCAGTTGGAGGTTTTCTGTTGCATGACTGCAATCTGGATGGGAATTTTGAGTTTGACAACCTGCTTTGAGGTACAATATACAGTGGTGCGCCGCATAGCGACGATAATCCGTGCCGAAAAAATCGTTGCTATCCGGATTCGTCGCTATGCGGGAAAAAACCCCATAGGAATGCATTAAAACACATTTAATGCATTCCTATGGGGAAAAAACTCACCGCTATGTGGAAATCCTCCATCTGGCCGCCATTTTCGCTGCCTGGTAAGTGAGGAAAGGGCGCGAAAACACTGCAGGTGGCGATTTTTTCGGCGGCCATTTTGGAACTGCCGATCAGCTGTTTTCTAAAACATCACTATGCGAAAACTGGTAAGCGAAACACTTACCGATCATCGTAAAGTGATTTTTGGCCATCTAAAACATCGCAATACGATTGCTTTTGCGATTGCAAAATCCTCATCGCTATGCGGATTCATCATTAAACGGGGCGCTCATTAAGCAAGGCACCACTGTATTCCCATATCTTAACATATTGAGAAAGGATTTGTATTTAGTTCCTTGAGGTAGCAGGTGCAGGTATATCTCTTGTCACTGAAGTCCTAGCTCAACTGAATGGCCGACAGTGCCTGGGGACAGCTTTCATTAGCAAGTGTTTGAAACCTGTAAGATACCTGTTCTTTAACAATTGCGTTGGCTGCAATTACACTTTTGGTCTGAGTTCAGTGTTTGATAATGACTTTTAAAGGCCTGAACTGCTTGCAACATAGATAGTTAAGGAGTGCCTCTTCCCAGATATACCTCTCTTATTATTAGGATCTCTGGGGATGTCCATCAGTATCCCTCCATTAAGATTGGTACATTACATGGAGATTAGAGAGAGTGCTTTCTTAGTGGTTCCCCCCACACACCAAATCATCTGTTTCACTTCTATAATGACTTTTAAAGGCCTGAACTGCTTGCAACATAGATAGTTAAGGAGTGCCTCTTCCCAGATATACCTCTCTTATTATTAGGATCTCTGGGGATGTCCATCAGTATCCCTCCATTAAGATTGGTACATTACATGGAGATTAGAGAGAGTGCTTTCTTAGTGGTTCCCCCCACACACCAAATCATCTGTTTCACTTCTTTGTTAGCTACTTACATGGAGATGATTGAGTTTTCTTAGTGGTTCCCTCCACACACCAAATCATCTGTTTCACTTCTTTGTTAGCTATATGCACCAAGTTTTGTTCTTGTTATGTGCCATCAAATTGCTTCCAACTAATGGTGACCCTGTGTGAATGAGTGATCTCCAAAATGTCCTCTCCTTAACAGCCCTGCCCAGCTCCTGCGGACGCAAATCTCTTGTTTCCTTTAGGGAGTAAGCCCATTTCATATTTGGTCTTCCTCTTTTCCTGCTGCCTTACACCTTTCCCAGCACAGTTATCTTCTCCAGAGAATCCTGCCTTCAAATGATGTGTCCTCAGTTTCAACATTTTTGCCTCCAGAGATAGTTCAGGCTTGATTTGATCTAGAACCCACTTGTTCATTTTTCTGCCAGGCCAGTTTATCCGCAAAGCTCTCCTCCAGCACCACATTTCAAACAAATCAATTTTTTCTCTACCCAACTTCCATACAAGATGCAGGAATACAAGAGTGTGGGTGGTCTTGGTTTCCAGTGTCAAGATCCTTACACTTGATCTTTTCTAATTCTTTCATATTGTTCTTCCACATCTCAATCTTCTTCTGATTTCTTGGCTGCAGTGTCCATTTAGATTGATTATTGAAACAGGATATACAAACTCTTATTAGCATTAATATTTTCAAGCATTCTTTGAATTTGAACGAGGCAGACTTTCTCCCTCACATTTAGCTGAATGATCAATAAAATGCTTTCCCTTTTGCATCTAATTTTTTTCAAAAGGGTGTGAAGAGATAATTAAAACCCACTAAAGTGGCTTAGGCTTAATGTTAGAGCACTGCAAAGAATCTCACCAGATAACAAAAACAGAATACAAGTTGTTACAAAAGATTAAGATCTTTATAGAGTGCAAAATCCTGAAAGTGTGTTCTGGATCCTGAACTTGTATGGGGAGTTAGGGAGATAGAAATAGCCCAGTCCTTTAAAAAAAGAGAGAGAGAAGCAGAAAGAGGGAGGGCAGGAAAGGAGAGTGTCAGTGCTAGTATTCCAAGAAAGCAACATGCCTCATACTTTTTTGTGTGATTCATGGGACAGGCACATCCTCGGTCTCCCCACCCCCACCCCCCGGGATGCTTTCAATCATCAGTGACTTGGATATTTCCTCCCATACTAGCTTGTGGGCCCCAATTTTCTTTCACTAGAGATGTAACTCCATGTGACAAATTTTTGTGTCTCCAATGAAAGATTGGTGTGAATCAAAATTCAAGCCCAGGCTTGAGATTAGAGAGTTTGTACAGGCAAGGATGCCCCTACCGGGCAAAGCTGTTCCTCCTGCGTAGATCTCTGACTGAGCCCAATTGCTCTCATCTCACTTGTTGACCAGGTCCTGCTTCAGTGAACTCCTTTTATGCAACCCAAGTGCCCCACAGAGGTGAAGGACACAGCCTGAGCTGGCTCCATCAGTCAGCAGAACAAATGGGCTTGCTCTGCCTAACATCGGGCCATCTCGGATTCCACCTCTTTTATAGAGATGAGTGATGAAGAGAGGCTCGTTCCGCTTTGCCACTGTATTAATACACATCAGGGGCCAGCTCCCGGCACTAAATCACGCTCCTGCATACATCTGTTATCGGACTCCTCACCAACGTGATGAACAAGACTGCAGATAGAGGCTTCCGCATGTCATTCTTTATAGGATTTTCCTAAAAGAATAAATAGCTCAAATCTCTGCCAACACTCTCCCCTGTCATTGTGATGAATTTAGCTTCTTTCTTAAACATGCAGCAACAAATCTTCCGCTGTCGTAGACCCCCTCCCTCTCCCCACCTACAGAAAGTTTTGTTGAATTTTGACTGAATTTCAATGGTAGTAGTCAGGCTCCTGAAGATTCATGCACCCGCTCAGTGGTGGGGATGAAAGCAGCCTTCTGGGATCTCTCTTTTTTTGGGAAACCTGAACAGAACACTGGCGAGTTCATGGCTCCTTGCTTTGGGTTGTTCTGGAGCTAGTATTCTGTGGTTCCATACTAGTAGTCTATGATGTACTACTCATATGTGGGCCATGTCCTACCCATGGCGGGAATGGACCTGTAGATGCTTTGGAATTTAGCTCCCATAATCTGTCACCTAGCAATGGTGGCCGGAACTTCTGAGAACCTCCAGCACATCCCCAGAATACCAAAGGTTTGCCCCCTCTGGCCTAGAGGAATCTGTTGGACTATGACTTGGCTTGCATGGAGGTGCTGCTTATTTGAAGTAGTGTCTATAGAGCACTTTATCACCATGGAGACATGGCTTCACACAAATGGGGTTTCCCATATGTTGCACTGACATGAGCTTCTAAAGTGCTTGAGTGAGAGCTATCATACATATGAATTGGTTAGAACATTCACACATAACCTTGTATTGACAGAGCTTGCAAGTTCTCTCTTGGTGGGCAGCAGTCATAACCCAGGGCATTTATGTGGCAAATAAGCAGACAGAAAAAAATCTAGTTTCATACTAGACCAGGAAACCCCCACCCCACCCGGGAGGTCTTCCTGAAAACCAGTTTTAGGTTTCCTTTCAGTTTAACTGTGGCCTATACTCCTGTGGTTTCCCTAAAATTTGAAGGCCCTGAAACAGCATTTGAGCCTTGTTGGAGCTGGAGCAGCATTCACTATTGATCCAACTACGTGGTCTGAGAGACACATGTTCTGGACCTGCTCAGTTTCTTTCAACCACTGACTAAATTGGCTAAATAAAATGTATTACTGATTCTTTCTTATGATATTGGTAGCCAATAAGTTGAGCATTCAAACTGCCTAAGTAACAGGAAATTTCCTTAGCAGTGCCTACAGGTTGTCTATGGGGATGAGACTGGATTGCACCTTTGTATCTAAAATTGACTTGCTCCTTCACAACTGAGACTTTTCTTTTCACGCACTGCACATATGTGGAGGCAGGGTATGAATCTTTTGAAAGATGGGTTTCTGGAGAAGAGTGATGTGTGGGGAAAAAAGGAAACTGATGCAGATTTCTCCATGTCTGATTGTAGGATATTAGTTATCCTAGCACTATGTTCAAATTCTTTTTTGATGCTGAGTAATCGGTGTTCACTATCCCATATACATTGGCAAACAAAGCAGGAACTAGAAATTGGCTAGCACAGAATAATCTGATGGCTAATTAATATGTTCAGGTGCCTTTATCAACCTAGAATAACAGATAGACTAGGTTTATATGTTAGACATCTTTCGTGGTGAAATTAGGAGTGATTTTTAGAAACTCTGGAATTACTTACATAGTGCATTCACCTAGTTGTAGCTCCCCACCACCCCCCTTTCCAGTCAGGGTAAAAGGGAGATTTCTTAATGATGTTTGTGTACTTCTGTTGTGACAATCTGAAAAGAGCTCTTTTCCTTCCTAGCAGCACACTGGTTAGAAGGCAGGACATCTGTTGGCTTTCTGGACAGCATTTCAGAAATCAGACAGAAATCATGATACAATGCTTTGAAGGATTCTTGCTGTCCTAGCCTTTGAGACCCCCATAAGCTGGGCTAAAAACAAGTGAGTGGAGTATGCAATAATGACAAAAGAAGATGTGTGATGCTGCTTGGCACATAAAACTTGATATGTAAAATTGTAGTTTGGTATCTTCCTTTAATATGTCTGTTCATTGTATTTCTCTTCCCTTTTTGTGGTATTCCAGCAGCTTTATCCATCCACAGGAATACATCAGACCCTGGCCTACCTGTGGCACACTCTCAGAGGCACCAGAACTGACTGGATGTGCAGATTCCATGTGTCGGAGATACAAAGCTTCACTATCACCCAGGCAGCTCTTTAAAAAAGAAGGTCCTTGATGGCACTGGATGCAGGCAACTCTTTGACGGGGCTTTTTGTATGTTGGACTGCTGAGAGCATCAGAAGCTTCATCAAAAAACATGGTGTTTCCAGTGTTTAAAATGTAACATTTCAGAATGCTTTGTTCACTTCACACGTCCTGCAAGTCATGTCTGTAAATCCATGTAAAAATGTGTAATCTGCACTGAGTTTTCCATACTTCCAGTGTTTTGCTGTGGAAATATCTATTGTGCACTCTGATTTTCATACCCAGCAGTTGCTGAGTGTGTGTGCGTGCAAAGTGTTATTGATTACTATAGATGCCTGTCTTTATTGTAAAGCTCTTCATCCTTTCGACATACAAGCTTTAGCAGAGTTCTGTATTCAACAGGAGGAATTCTCATGGCTTTGCATTGGAGAGGCTGAGACTGTGCCTCTGACAAGCATAAGAACTGAAAATGAGTCAACTAGGCTCCCTGATTGAAGTGGAAGTTCATTGGGGTGGAGGTCACTTCGTATGTACTAGATGATTTAACTTTTATATTGAGAACATTTCTAAATGCTCCTTGATGGACAACATTTTGGACAGATAGGCAAAATGGAATGATAAACCACTTCTGAGTATTCTTTCCCTAGAAAACCCTGAAAAAGGTTGCCATATGTCAGAATTGACTTGATGGCACACAATTATTATATCCCTTCCAGACTGTTCTTTGTATATTATCTTTCTAAGAGTGTCTTCCTCTTCCTGAGTCACTGGTGTATCTTCCTGTTTTAAGTTAGAGCTCTTCTCCTGTCTGCCTTGCTTTTGGGTGTCTCCTACCACACAAGCCAGTGGAACCATAAATTCACAGATTGGGCTGTCATGGTACTCTTTATGCGAATGACAATGAAATAGACTGCCAGCTGTACTTGGTCTGTTTTGGCAACTGCTGTAAGGCATTATCTGAAGTCCATTTGTTGCTCCTGTTACAGCCTTTTAAAGTATGTGTTTTCAAAGAAGTCTTTATGCAGGAGCAGCTATTCATTCTACAGGTCATTCTGTGGGCTCACCTTGAAATGTTAAGTGTCAGAAGTGTCACAACAAAAATAGCTGTCATGCATACCTACTGTGTGTGTGTGTGCAAGAAAAAGAACCTTATTCGTGCGCAGGCTCAAAGCCCATTGTGGGAGCGTGTGGACACTACTATCCTTTGCCTCCACTTGCCTGATCCTTCTGGATCACCTCATTCTTTTATGTGTCCCCATTGATAAGGCCAGCTTTGTACCTGGGCCTGGGGCACCGCTTCCCTTCCCTTTATGCTGCAGCAGCCCATGGTGGACCTCTGGGCTGCATTGTACAAAGTAGCAGTGATGCAACCAACCAGACTGGTTGTTAGGGAGAGAAAGGGAGATGTAGATGCACCAACAATACTACAGGTCTGCCCTCTTCTGCCCTCTTCACTGTTGGAAAGTTCCCCAGCAGCCAGGTGATGACCACTGTGAGCAGTGGGTGGAGCTCTTACAGACCCTCCCTGCTGCAACAGTGGTGTAGAAACCCCTCCCCCCATCCCTCCATTAGAAGTCAGGCAAGAGCTCTCCAGTGTGCTTGCACAGCACTCCACCGTGTTGCTTTCGCTAGATTTAACTTGCTTTTCCAGGCTCTCCCTGCCCTTTCAGCAGGTTGCTAACCTTGCACTCTTCATGACCTGCCTTTGGCCTTGAATGTGCAATTCCTACCATGCACCTTCTGTGCATATTATTAATAGGGGAAAAAGCACTTAGTAGTGCTGGGACCATGTGGGTGTACTGGGAGGTATTCTGTGGAAATCATAATACCTGTGAGTGCTAAACTTATTCTCTTGCTTTCAGGCTGGGATCCTTCCTTTAATACAGTGGTCAGGGAACAGGGGTAAATTTCCCCAAATGGGGTAAAAATGAAAATCCTGGGGTAATGAGGACGGTCGTGGCAGCTCGGCCATCCTCATTACCTCCAGACGGTGAGAGCGGAGGGGCAGTGCTGGGAGGGGGTGGGGTAATGTCGGCATATATAAACTTTTTTGGGGGGGTAAAAGGTAAAAAAGTTTCCTGACCCCTGCTTTAATATATTTACAAAAATGTATCTCCTTGGCAGTATGTGTGGGGAATGGCTTTTTCCTTGCACTTTCTAATTGGGTGTGTGTAGGTAAGGAACATGAGAGAAGGAAAGTATGAATGTGGTGTAGTGCTTTGTCCTTGCAACTTTGCTATCTGTTTTCTAGTCGAAATTGCTTGTTACCAGCAAGAAAAGTCAGGAATCTAGGCAACTATTTTGCATTTCAATTTCAGCACTGTTTTAAATACATGCCTTTTCATGCTTTTTTTTTTAATTCATGTTTGACGTTTCCCTTGAGGTTTCCTTTTTGCAACACGAATCTGAGATTGTGTCCAGAATTATATCTTTCATTGGATTCCATCACTTGTGCACGCACCAGGTACAGGGCCAGAGTGAATGGCACCACAGCTTTTCAATACATAAGGTATCCTGGCTCTGGATGCAAGCTGGTGTTGATCAGATGCACATAGTATATTTTGTCTGGTTTTATAATGTGTTGATCTCTTTTGCCTTAACTCATAAAATGGAGGATGTGATCTGGGCATAACAAATGTATTAACTGTATACAAACATGTTTTAATGGTCAATAATCCTAAAGACCAGCACTGGTTGGGCTGATGGAGTTTGTCATGTGTGATAACATGAGTTTATCAGAAAATATAGAGCAAGTATGTATGCTTCTCTAGTCATATTAATGATGCCTTGCCTGTATCGGAATCATTGACGCCAACTCTGTATCCCAGCCATAGACACAGATCTTTGTAAGTACACTTATTCTGAAATTGGTTAGGAATGACATTTTTTCTTAATTCTGTACAAAAGACACCCAAGATAAGGGTTTATTTTAGGTGTGTGCAAGCTCTAGGGGCCATTTTTCTACCCCTGGACCTCTTCAGGAGCTTCAGTAGGTCCTCCACATGAAACAGTACTAATTGTGGGTTCATTGTATTTAAAATAATAATAATAAAAGGAAACAAATGGATATTCTAGTAAAGCAAGGTGTGGGTAGGCAGACCTTGTCATAAGAAAAGAATCATGTCCCTAGAGAGCACTCTTCTCTCATTTCTTGAAAACGAAAATGGATTTTTAAAAAATGGCTCTGAGGGGTATTTTGGAGCGATATGTAGTCTTTTGCCTCTGATTATTTCAATATTAAGATTTAAGAAACCAGGAAGAGAGCCAGTATTTTCACTTTTGCATCTTGATTGTCTCCTGTGCAAATCTCCATCAAAATTAATGAGAACCTCCCATTTGTTGCACACCAAATGCCCCTTGCATTAGCCTGTATACTGAAAATCTTACCAGACAGTTTCTACTTATTTTTTTAAACATATTTCCATCATACAGATTTGGTAGTTGTTGGAGCATTCATTAGAAAGGGGCGATATGAGTTGCAATTTCACTGGTCCCATGCTTTGTTTGCAATGTTTCCTCAATGTTTTAGCTAATGTTTTAACCTGAAATAACTAATTCACCATATGATGGCCATAACGTGTAATGAAAACTAGTATCTAGTAGCTTCACATAATCTAGAAGCAGGCACAGATGTTTGTTTGTACCTTTATATGTGGCAATATTTTTAATTCCGGCTTCTCTAATATTTTTACTTCTTTTTCTTTTTGCAAAGACTCTTATACAGAGTGATGGAGGTCATAGGCAGCATAGGTAATGCTACTGAGTAGACATGTGTTTAGGATCTAAATAGAACCTGCAACAGTTGTCAGGCTTCAATATATCTGTGATCGCTAACAGTGAAACCCACGGGACCCAGGATATATATGTGGAAGAAATTCCAAATTAGTATAAACTTTGTATTCTCTGAATTACTTTGTGGCTGCATTTCAGTGTCGTGCTCCCTAGTCCTCAAAATCATGGTCTCGAGGATTTACCTTTATGTGTTTCAATACTTGTTGTATTCTAATTTTTGTAACAAGTATGATCCAAAACATCCTGAAATCATCCAAGTGTAATTGATTATATTGTATTAAAGTTTTTTTAAAATACAATTTTAGGTGTTAGGTGCAGGATGATGGTAGATGCTAAGTCCTTCAGTTTTCTGGTTCAGATCTAATTATAAGTAGCTAGTTACATCTGATAGTTGGTGACCCTATGTAAGGGATGTATCTGGCCACTTCAGTGGATATGAATAGATGCTATGAATGGGGATACACAGCAGTGCTTGTTTGTGAGCTGTGTAAGCTACATTTGTGAAAGGTGGATAATCTGTTAAAATACCCCTTTGCTTGATTAGATTTGAACACACTCACGATTTGCTACTGAGCTTTATATAGCTCGGGGGGTTTGAAGCACTGCTATGTAGAGGCACATGGTTCAAATTCACACTGTGCTTCCCAGGAGAGCAGCCAGCCAAGATCACTTGGGGTGTGTGTGGCTGATGGGAAAGCTGCATTGTTTTAGTGTGCCACCAGAAGGAGGAACTCGTAAACCACTTCTGAGTATTTTATACCTAAAAGTATTTTTACCCTTGGAAAATTACTGTAAGTTGGAATCAACTTGCCAAGAGCATCATGATCATAATTATTCAAAGTCTATTATGAAATTATGCATAGTATGGAGAAAGTATAGTAGAAAAAGAGGAATATCTAACTTGAAATGGATTGACTCAATAAAGGAAGCTGCTGCACAAAATTGCTTACACTTTTCAAGGCCTAAGCACGGCTGTCAATGTGGGACCTTTGAAAGGTCATATGCGAGAAGGGATGATAGCACATAACAACAATGGGAAAAGTGGCTGGGAAAATATTTTCCTTTTGTGTAATTCTTGGTTCCACTCAGTGAAACAGATTGGCGGAAATATTAGAGCAGAAAAAACACATTACTACTTAATACAGTGTGTAATTTATGGAATTGGCTGTCAACATATTTATAATAATAATCTTAGAACTGCTGAGCGGGAAGATACCCTATGGATCATCGAGTCCAGCTTCTGTCAAGAGGCACAGTGGAGAATCGAACCCGAAATGCCTAAACCACTGAGCTATCCAGTAGTTCATTTGGTGGTGGCTACCAATTTAGACTGCTTTAGAAGGGGATTAGACAAATGATCTGGGGTGGGAACATCTGCCAGTGGTTACTGACCATAAAAGCTATGTGCAATCTTCAGGTTGAGAGGCAGGAAGGATACTGTTCAGTACAAGTTGCAGGGGAGCAGTTGCAAGAGAGGGGTATTGATTTCATGTCTTACTTTTAGGTTTCCCAGAGGCATTTGTTTGAGGCACCATGAAGAATAAGGTAATTACTCTTTGGTTTGGATCAGCAGGAGTTTTCTTAGGTTGTTAGTTTTGCTTTCTTGCTTTTCAACACTTTCCCTCTGACACTGTGGGGGGCTTCGGTGGCAGTTAGTCAGGGTATCTATCTTTGTGCCAGATAGGACCACACTTTGCCCAGTGTAATTGCTATGTAGAAAGAGACCTGAGAATAATCCTGAACATCAGGTTGGTTTTTATTGTGGCATCTTACTGTTGTCTCAGAGTGGCATGTTAATGACTGACATGCACAGGATGACCCCAAATGCTTATGCTAAACAGTCTTATACATTGGCATCCATTTGATAGCTTGTTTTTGCTGCCATAATTAGTAACCTATTTGCCAATGATATCTGGAAAATCCATGTGGAGAACTTACATTGTCTACAAATGGCTTGCCATATAAGGCAACCATCATCATATGGTTTTAAACAGCTCCACGTATGGAGGAATAGCATCAGAAGTGGTCCCTGGCATCCCCCACCTCCTGGCAGACAGCCTGCCATTGCTTATTGAGGAACCAGATGCACAGTGGCTACTCCCAGTTGTAATTACCCAGCCATTCCTGGTTATGGCACTTCAGAACTTAAAGTGGAAGTGCAGAAAATGTGGAAAGGAGATGCTCTTTGTCCTCTAGCAATACTGGGAAGGTTGCCGTGGATGCTGTCCACACTGTTACAGCATTCTCTCGATATTGTGTCAATGAGTCATGGCCTATGTAATGAGTCATGGCCTATGCTGACATAAAAGATGCACAACATGTGCCAAATACCCTGACTAAGTCTGTGTAGATGTTCTCAGCCAAGATATACTTCTTACCTTAGTCCCAGGCCTCTTCATATATAGAGTTGCAAGATATTTTCTAAATGAAAGCAACTTGTCTGGGAGAGCCAACCAGTTTACAGGATTTGGTTTCTAGAAACAGAAATGGAAGGGTAGCAATGGTAACTTAGTTCAGGCTTCTGCTAGTGCAGGGAATCCACAGCTAGAGCAACCCAGTAAGTTAGCCACCTAGCCTCTGTTTGGAAGCCTCCAGTGAAGGAGAGTGCAGTGCCCACAATTCATCCTATTGTCAGACAGCTTATACCATCAGGAACTTCTTCCTAATATGTATTTAAATTTACAAAGATACATTCTGAAAGATAATTTCTTTGTATTAAAAAAATTAGGAGAATGGAGGGTAACATTTTCTTGAGTCATTGATTTGAAAAATTGATGACTAGGTTATTTTCTATTTGATTTTTTATAATGTTCTTTGTATGGCAGAACTCCATATTTTGACTGTCATTTCTTAGACAAATCTTGTTTCATGGTGACAAAATGCCCTTTTTCATAGGAAGTCACAATTTGTAGGCACTACAGTTGAGCTTTGTGATATTTCGTGTTTTGTTGCAGTATTTCATCCACCAGTGTTTGCAGTAATCTGTATATATCTCAAGTTGAAGATAATACATGAATTCAGGTAGCCATTTTGCTTTCATAGATAATAAGGTTGGTTTACATCCTTGTGCAGAGATATACTTCTCACAAGGATGGTAAACCTATATTGATCTGTTTCCACTTCCCAGGTGCAAGTTGGCAGCTCTCACGATACTGTGCCTATTCATAACAAAAGAAATATCCCTGCATATGGAAAACTAGCTGCCATGTAGGGGAGAGAGTCACACTAGAATCCTAATTCTCTGTGTGAACAGATTTGTTTGTAAGGAGAATTCATCAGATAAGGAATTGTAACTACCCAGAGATAGTTTTGCCATGGTAGTGAGAACTGGAACCCTGTATGAGAGCTTAATCTAAGATCATTCTCTGAAATCCAGGGAGCTGCTGATAGAACTAATGCCTCTGGAAGCTTGTTAAATGACAGCTGTGAGATGCAGGGACATTTCCTGTGTTTCAGTGACTAGGAATCCTTTAGCAAGTCTAGTAACACAGCTGGTGCTTCTCTTCCAGAGGGATTTTTCCTCAGTATAATCTCTGCAAGGCTTCTGATCTCTGTATGCAAGTCATTTGCAGGTAAATCTGACTCTGCAGATCTTGGAGTCTTGAGACCTTTACAGGCTCCTTTGAGGACAAGTGACAGATGATATGTTGTGATTCTGGAATCTTATTTTAGAAAATAATAGCTTCATTTGTATGTTAAATAAAGGTTTCCTGCTAACCATGATGTGAATTTGTTTTATTTGCTGCACATACTCATGCATCCAGATGGCAGCTTTCCCCTGTGACAGTAGTGCTAAATCTGAGCAGGGTGAAATATTCAGTTGGCCAAGTGACACTTCTGGTCCAGCTGTTTGACACTATAGGGCTCAGTAGAGGAGTTAGCATAGTTTATGTATAGCCTAACGATTTTGAGTACAGCATTTCACAGCCTTTCACAACACAAATCTCTCAATTTGGATATGAAGCAGTTACGTATATTAGCATTCTGTGCCCCAAACCTATGTATGCTTGGGCTCTGAATGCATGTGATCTGATTGCAGTTAATAAGTTGTATGGTTGACAGAATGACTGGCTCACGTTTTTGTCCATTTAGGCAGTGATTATACCAGCTCTCAATGTCTGGATGCTTATAAATGATTGATGTTACTGCTCATAGTACTTTTTGTTCTTCAGCAATCCTGTGGTTTTGGTCAGTCCAGCACATATAGAAATGAAGCTGGGGTATTCTTGAAAGTTTTTAGCTTTTTTAAAGCAGAACTTACAGATTTTGTAAAATGTTGCTATGCTTACACAAAATCAGACCAGAATTCTTCAGTATAGTGCACAAAGGTTAAGCAAAAATTAGTGTGATAAAATGTCCTTGTTCAGATGGTACTCACTCTGATCCAACAAACTGAATTGCCTGCATGCTGACATCCACTTTGTCATTTCTGTCCTCACTGTTTCTTGGTTTGTTGAGGCACTGTTACCTTATGAGGACCCAGCTGAGAAATTGGTTTGATTGATCTTGCAAATTAGGATGTAAAACCAAGCCATAGTTTCTCTGTTTGAAGCTCATGGAAAACTTGTCAAACAAGCCACAGTATTTGGGATTAAGGTGGAAGAGAGAGAGAATTTCCTAGAGACTCAACTCATTACATCAGAACAGTGCCATGAGTGACCTGTCATAATGTATTGTAAAACTGCAAGTACACTGGTGTACATACACATTAAACTGCTGAGTCCGGATGTTACTGGCTTAGGTGTTAGATGGAAGTTTTGTATAGGTTCTGCCTCATGAACACAATCTGCCATTGGAATTCAGGACTGGTTCATCATAATCCCCCTTTGAAAGTGGATTCACATGTCTTCGAACTTGAGAAGTTCATCCTTCCACAACCTTGTCCTTCTAGATGCCCGGAATGCAAACGGAGAACATCTGTGTGGCCACTGGTACCTCATTGAACAAAGCTGTCATGCATTGATATGATAAAAATTTAATATGCAAGTAAATGCTTGTTAAAGACAAAATGGGAACTGAATGTCATTAATTTCACGAGTACAGGGTGAAAAACTGCTAATTACTCAAGGAATTTGAAATGGCTTTAACATTCCCTCTGTTTTGTACGGCAAGCAAGTCCTGGAAACAAGAAGGGGAGTTTCAGAGGTGAAAGATACAGTGATGTGTTCTGGAAACAGCACAAGGATTGCTCTTTGTGTATTTTATATTCCTACTGTGAAATGGAGCACTACAGGCACTATTATGCATCCTAAATTCAGCTGAACAGGGTGTAGCAGAAGCCCTATTTATTGGAG